GGTTTCAATACTAGAAATCGAAATGATCTTCATGTACCATTTTCTAAGAATAATATTCAGTTTAAGTCTCCTCTCGTATTGGGACAAAGATTTTTTCAATAAACTCCCAGCGAACATAAAAACGTGCTCAACTATAAATGGTTTTAAGGAAATTATTGAAGGACTTTTCATTATCCCATTGTTGTTATTCAGTGGACGATTACTTAAAAACAAATAGTTGACTTTAATTCTTTTTTATTGTGCAACTGTAAATTTTGTATTGCCTGTTTAGTTATGTAATTTAGATCTAAGATTCGACTAATTCTATACAAACTTCTGTTTGTCAAAAAGAAAATAAAGATTATTATTATTATTATGAGCAAATATGGCTGTGCCACCATGTATATAATTGGTCCCGGAATATGGAGAGGTTCATCAGGCTTCAGCCAATGCTCTGTCGTAAGGATTAATTGTGGAAAAGCTTGCTGTTCAAGTAAGATGCAAAGTTCATCGGTTTTGTTGTGAACGGATTGTATGTTGAGGGAAAGAATTGATATCACGATGTTATCTTTGGAAATCTGGTTTTCAATAAAAAGTCTTCACTTTTCTCATTCTCAATATTATCCAAATTGTGGTTCGGGAAAATGTCTGATTTTTCTTCATCACTTTTTGTATAAGAACTAACATGGGACAAGTCCTTTTCAAACGCGTTGATTTCATCAAGTTCACCGCTATTTGAAGTAAATTTTAGTCCTTCCAGCAAGCTCAAAATAGCTTTTCCTAAGAAAAACTTGGCCAAATTCATCAGGTGGATTCCATCTCTACTATAATTGCTCCTTCGCAGTGTGTTATTGCAATTCAGGAAGGATATTATGTTATTATTTTGGAAGTCAAGTTTCTTGCGAATGAGATTATTTTCATAAATCAGTTGATTCATTTTCAAATCGAATCTATAAGGTTCCGAGCTAAGTCCAGTGAATTCGTAGAGAGACTTTTTGGCCATATTAATACAACGCCATTCTTAGTAAACTCTCTTANCCCTTTTATGGTTCAGTCACAGAATATTTCGAACTTTTTAGTCCCAATACACTGTATCAACTTTAGATAGTCTTCAATTTCATCAACTCGGGACCCGAAACTGATTTTCTTTTTCACAAAAAATATTCGCATCACTTTTACTGTCACCCTAATATGAAATTTGAACTTTTCTATCGACAAACTGAAATTTCTTTTAAACTTTGTAAATGTTATTCAAAAACCAAAAGTATATGTACATGTTTCAACAATACATAGTTAATACTTACATTCAGCTTTGTTAAAAAATGGTCTAACAAAATTTACTTCAATGTTTATTGATTTTATCATTGAGATTCAAAATATCAATTCGGTATATCTTTGAGAACACTACCATCCTATAGTATTAGTTAAAGATTATAGGGAAGTGAAAACAAAATGGATTAAAGGAAATATTAAGAAAATTGGTCCCCAAACATTTAGTTTTTATACCAGATATAAAAAAACATGGCATCGGCATCTAAATCAAATTCTAGAGTATGGTGGAATGAGTAGTGAGAGTGAACGATGAGAAACTAATCATAATAACGCAAAGTGATGAAAATGAACAATTAGGTTTATCAGATTTGTTTAGATCACCTGAAATACAAATTGAAACTGAAAATGACAACACATTCCCCTAATTTAAACATTAAAAAGTTCTATTTCAGCAGCCATTCAGAAAATACATTTTCTGGTGTAGATACTTTGGGGAAGAATCTATACCCATCTGCACTTCTTGGAAGTATATCGAGCAAACAAGAATTCTCTGGAATTGGTAATATTCAAGATGCAAAACGTAACAGACCAACTCACTATTTTCACATCAAAACTCTCCAAAACTCCATTATCAATAATAATAAAATATTTTGTATTCGTTCTTTTATTTTTCAATTTCTTTATGCAATGAATAGTTATAAGTATGTTTAGTTTACCCACATTTGATTCACCACACAAATGTATTTTTGGTATTTTTTCTCATGTATCAGATTATCATCTTTAGATATTGGCTGATGTCAATAATCCACAATGAGGTTGATATAGCAGATAGATCAATATAACTATTTGTTGAAGTCTATGTAATATTACAATACTCTAATTTTCTAATCCAAAATTTTAAAATTTATCACCTCAAAATCATGAATAATCATGAAATTCAGTCACCATATATTCATTTTTATCTATCGCTCTATCCACTTCTATGAAAGACTAATTTTTATAAGATATTCTGGTTACAACGTACCACTCCGGGTCTCATCTCAACAATCATTCCTAGAGCTTGTGGTATGACAAGTATATCGCTGAAGATTATAGCTGCATCTAGGTCGTATCTCTTGATTGGCATTAAACTGACTTCGCATGCTAGACGTGGAGTCTGGCATATCTCAAAAAATGTATGCTGTTTACGAAACTCCGTGAATTCTACGAATGAAAACTTGAGATGCTTTTGAACCCAAATTAGATCGACTTTGTACCTGGTAAATATCTTCCTGCTTGTCTCATGATCCATATTGGTAGTTTATCTACTTTTTCTCCCCTGGCAGCCCTTAGAATTCTATCATTTTTCAAGATAGGAAAGTTATGTGTAGACATTGTGGTTTTTCAAGCAATTTGTGATGCGCGAAAATTTTTGATAAATATGATTGTGCAATAAAACTCTCAAGAACGCCGAATTCAGTCGAATCATGCTATTTCTTGGACATATTCAAATGAACCTTAAACATTCTTCTTCTTCTCTTTTTTTTTTCTTTGCTTCCCTTACGGTGCAGTAAACCAGTCTCCTCCTATGACATAACGGATATTATGCAACAGTCGCTTCATCCTTGGACGTAGTGTGTCTTGCTGAAAGTAAAGGGGTCCATGTAATTCATCATAATGTACTCCATCATAACATCAAAGAAGAGAAATCGCAATGCATCAAATCGCAATGCATCATAACGCTACAAGATCATAATCGTAATATACAGAATACGTAATGCAGAGAAACGTAAGCCGTCATAATCGCAATTCATCATAATGTAAAACAGCAGAACGTACTTTGTCATAAAGTAAAAATTCATAACGTACTTATAGAAATGTTAACCGATCATAATCGCAATGCATCATATTCACATTGTATAATAAACTCAATGTATCATATCGCTAAAGCGTAGAAACCGCATATAGTAAGTATCATAACGTAATCCATCATAATTTGGTTGCGCGCGCATCAAGTCTGTCTACAATAGCTTACTGGTGCCATAGTCGATGGGCCGAACACAAATTTTCTAAGCAAAATAACCATTATATTCTTAACGGAAATTTGCTGTACTATGTAGGATAGAATTTTTTTCACTTTGAGTTTCATCAAAGATAACCAAAATTATGTCGATTTAATTGATGNACATTTTGTGAGTACATATCAGGTATTTCAAAATGGCCGATTAGATACATAAATACATCTGTTGGTGTATATTTATTGTAGTAGACTGCTTCGTATATTAATTCGGTTCCAGTATTTCCTCGTTTTACATTCTTTGGCATATTAAGTACTCTTCCTAGCGGTTCAGTCCCAAAGCATTGTTGATTTACGTAACTCAATAGAATCCATGACGTTAATATTTTCTATTATTTCATTGAAGATTGTGGCTCACCGTCGTACTGTTGGATGATATTGCTTTGAAGTGACGTCATTCCCACCGGTTTCTTGAAATTGTTTGAAGAGCAGTTTCATCAAATTATTTGCCAAGAGACGCGGATTAATTATAATTTTTTGCTTTTTGTCTGCCGTATTCGCGAAATTCGTTTCCACTAGATTTGGCATCTGCCAAATTCCACAAGCGAAAATATTTTGAACTACGCAGAAATTGCCAGCTTTTAAAAAAAAGGTCCCTAATAACTATTTTATGGTCAAAATTAAGTTTCTAGGAAACTTTGTGTGTTATGTTGGATTTCTAGGGATATTTGTGACAGATGTAATGCCATTCACCAATTTCACAGGGCAACCGTTCAATGTTCATTTTTGGGATGGATAGAATCATTAGAATCTCATGCAGTTTCTCTCTTTCAATTGATTTGGAATAATTTTTACAATTATTGAACGAACATCTAGTTTCAGTGAGATGCTTAGCAGTTTATGCAACCAACAGAAAAAACTAAATTCTGTCTGATAAATTATGACCAAAACTAATATATGCTATGTATATATTTTCAATTTGTATACACAATTATATAAAAATTAGGGCCATTGAAGCGATAGAGGTTTATCATGGAAAATGTAGATTGACAATTTAGACGAAACTCTTTCAGTGCAGGGGCACACTTTTCGTACAAAGTTCGAAAAGTGTGTCTATTGAAGAGTTAAGTCAAATGAAACAAAAATTCGACAAAATCGAATCCTTATCTCTACACATTTCCACAAAATATCAAAATAAGGCAAATATCTGTCATTAAAGAACTACTTCCTCTTACGGACATTGATTTACATCTGACATCCTTTGTGACGACCGTTGCACTTGCAATAAGATAGAGAGGAAGTCTTAGTTTTCGGACAAATACTTGCCTCATCTTGCCACTTTGTGGAAATGTTAGAAGAGAAGGGAACGATTTCGAACGTCAAATGTTTCGTTGGATTTAACTCCCTAATAGATACACTTTTTGAACTCTGTTCACTCTTCACAGTGAACAGTGATTGTACATCTCTCTTGAAAATGCCAACCACCCGTGTTGGCAAAACGCCGAGAACATCTCGCAATACACGTCGGCCTATTAACCCGCAAAACCATCATTCAAACAACGATGGCCGCAAAAGGCTTTCACAATTGGCATATTGGTATATATTGGTTGTATAGAAGGGATGCATTTTTTAGATAGTTAGGTACTCAAATTTATTTCGTCTACAGAAAATTCACTGGTATGAAACTAACTGTTATTAGTCTGTTGAACAATCACCTTATCAACATATCTTGCGGTTTTTATAGTTGTAACCTTGTATTTTGAGAAGATTCTCAGATGAAAAAGTTTGGCATTTCGTCAAAAGTAAGCAATAATCAAAAAGGGCCCTGTAC